AATAAAAGATAGGTAATTGGAGCATAATATAGTTTCATGCTACTGCTTGATGGTGATTTTAAAAGAGAAACAAAGAAAGCATGAAAAAAAGCAGACAACATAATGATTCTCTTAAAGGACAAAAAAGAAGCTGAAACAGTGAAAACAAGTGTGAAGTCACTTCAAAGCTCTGTGAGGGGGGGGGGTATGCCATTCTACTGTAAAAATCATGTTGCCTACATTACATTTGACTTTTTTTTTACTTTTAATGCTGACAGTTCTAAGCTCTCATAAAAAAATTCAACATTATCTCAATGCAACTTCTTAAGCTGCCTTAAAAAAGTTTAGCTCCTTAAATCTTACAATGTGTAACTTTTTTTAAAAGCTGTTGTAGTGCACAACAGACAACATCTTGTGAGTGACAATATAATCGACAGAACATGACATGTAACAGTCTCGTATGACATAACAAGGTTTAAACACAAAGCTAAAATCTCATAACTTTTCAAATCAAAAGTAGCGCACGCCTTTAGCTCAGTTGATACCATGCTGGACTACAGAGCAGATGGCCCTGGTTCAAATTCCCTACAGCGCATTTTGAGTTTGGGTTGTTTTGAGAAGTTTTTGAGGCCTTTCATCCATGTGACTCTGTCCCACCTCTTTGATAGCCAAACAGTGTTGAAAGGGGGATTAAACCTATTAATTTTCGTGGTTTCGGAAAATCATGAGTATCGTCCCTTCCAACCATGATCCTGTCAAAGATTCTCTACTACCAATCTTTGCTCCTGTCTTCACATGAAATTGGACCAGAATTTTTAGACCTACTTCAATGTATGTTTTACATGTATTATAATACTGCTAAATGGCTGATACACGTTAAGCTTAAGTTGTGCTGTAACAACAGCATAGTAAAGGTTTTGTTGAAGATGTATCCGTCACAACTGATTTACTGTGTGCACTGTTAGGCATAGGCCTACATGAAATACATAAACATGTTAAATGTTACGAGGAGCTGTAGTCATGACAATTCATTTGAAAAGAGAAGAAATAATTATCACACACACACACGCGCACGCACACACACACACACACACA